AGGATGTCTGCAATTTGAAAGGTGGATCCAAAAGCAGATGAATGTGTTTTCCCTGGAGGATATACCACTCTCATATCACAAGTTTAACAAACATTGATTGTAATGCGTATTATCGGCAGATACAACAAGCTACTCAGAGGCATCACCACATAAATAGTCAGTAAATCACAATCGATTAGTACCACAGTGATCACAAGAGTGAGCGAAAAGAACAAATAGAGCTTTTCTTACCCGGATGCTGTCTACATGGGCTTTGATTTCGCCTTCATCACACAAATCCAAAACGTGAATCAGGGGAAGAACTACATCCTCAACAGAATCCGAAGGGCGACATTCTAAACTCTCAGTGGTGAACTTTTTGAGCCGATCGATAACTGGCCGGTTAGCGGTTCGCCATTGTTTTCTTTCGGTTTCACGGTAGTGGGTGATTGCCTGGACAGATCAATAAGATTAGTGAGTTAGAATACAAAAATCGAGTTAGATACAAATGAGTTCGCAGGGTACATAGAAACCGCTTTTTGTGATCATGATTAATTAAATTTATTTGGACCTGTTAGGTGGACCAACAGCTATTCATACGAGATCCTCAATGTCTGTACTATGTCAGTGAGCTGCATCCGTCTAAGGGATTTAACAGGTGAAAGCAGTCATCATCAATAGGCTGAAGTGGTTGCCCCTACCGTGCTCCCAGTTGAGAAGCACGACTCATGCACTGCCGACACAACTACACTTCGTCCGGTTCAACATCATGTCTGTTCTATGAGGGCTTCATGTGGTTTTGAACTTCCAACTCCAGATATTACGTGACCGATTATGATAATTGGACAGCAGACGGTATTCATCACTTCCATTTTTCATCAAGCAATGGTGTGTAATGAAAATGAGTGAACAAAACGGTTCAAGTTATGCAATCACGTGACGAAATCTCAAGGAACCCAAAGATTAATTGAAACATCATTGTAAACCAATGAGAAGGGGTGTTTGCATAGCATGACTTGCGGTTCACCACTTTAAGTCCCGGGGCCTAGGTTACCGGTTTCTATGGCGGAGCAGCAGGTCTTCGTGACTATGGAGTTCGCTCCGTCTGCTGTTCACCACACGAATGTGTGTAATAAGAAATGAGAGCGGCGAACGACGCATGCTAACTGGAAAATAACTTTATGGGTGCTGTATAAACATATATATCTTGACCTAGAACGCTCGGGGGAGTAGAGCTGTATGCTATGGAGCTCGTCCCAACGTCGCGGATAGAGGAACGGTTATCAATTAGCGGCTAATCAGGATTAGGGTGGGCCTAGCCTCACCAAACAAGCGGTTGCGGACGATCAGTGGCAGTGTTCGAGGATGTGGTCGGGTTGCCCCTTGGTAAGGGTTCTCCGCACAAATCACCAAACATCTGTAGACAGCGCTATGACGTGGCAAGTATGACCCACCACTAAATATGGTATTTGTTCTTTGTCCAGATCTATTGCCTGACAAGGTTTTACAAAAGAGGAGAATAAACATCATCTGACCACCGGCTCAGCTGAAACATCACTACTGCCTGGCAGTCCGCGTTTAGTTGCGCAAAGTTTGGAGTCGAACAAGACCTAATCTAGGCAGTTTGATCGAGTAGTACAAGAGCCGACGGCCTAAACAACCACGAACAATGAATTTTCTCTCTTCAAAGAAACCGTACTCACAGCTTTCTTCGAAAATAGAAAAACATTGTACACTGTACACACGATTATGTTTTCCCAACTTTTCTCCATCTCACATTTATCCCATCCAACCCCCTTCCAGTTTCACCTTAATCAGGAACTTCTGAAAGAAGCTACCGCTGTTCTCTCGCGTCCCACCACCACCATGTAGGTTTCCTCGATTCATCAAACATCTGAAACTCTCTTTCGTCCTCGACGAACCTTGAAACCAGCCATATCTAACGTGTCTACTCTGATGCATAATTATGAATCTGTGTTCTTTATAAAGAATAAAAATCTCGAGTGATCATACCGAAAACATCCAGTATGCAAACTTACATAATCCCAATGAGCAATTTCATACCGATGTTTCAATAGATGTGTATCGAGTTCCGTTACGAGAGATGTTTCTTCCGACTCGGATATAAAATCTGGTTTAAAAATAACTTCCGACAATACAATATTTGCTAAATTGTCGTGAGAGCTGGTCCACTGAACGGGGATATTCTTGACATTTAAAGCTGCATTGCTGAGTCTCCGAAGCGAAACAATGAGTCTCGGTACCCTCAATCCGAACAGCATAGCAAGAGTAACCAAAAACGTGAGATGCTTGGCTCGAGTGTGCGGCAGGATGTCTCCCGAGAACGGATACACCAGACAACTGCAAGTGGGCCGAGTCTAGGTATGTGCTGGAACCGTCGATAGACAGGATGTTCTCCGTGGAGGGGGAGAATTGACAACCTGAAAGAAAAATACGGACACCATGAACCAAAAGATTCGGTGGGACATGAAACGACTCACACTCGGACGGAATGGCAAGTGGCCAAGATCGTTACAAAAATAACATTACTGCAACGTGGAGGACAGCCCACCGCTGCCACTGACTCGCATCACACGGCAGGAGGTGCATTTCGGCAACACGATCCGAGTTCCTGGTGCCAATAGCGCTGTCAGAATGCCGCTAAAAAAATCCTGTTTGGGATGTGGAGAATGCGGCCTAATACAGACGCTCTCAGTGTACAGGTAGGAGATGCATTGGACTTCAAGACCTGCGGTACGTCAGCGCCCGGTTTGAATTTTCAAAGTGCTCTTGATCGAAAGTATTTTTGCTCAGCAAATTG